AAAAAAAAAAAAAAAAATTAGCCGGGCATGGTGGCACATGCCTGTAGCTACTTGGGAGGCTGAGGCAGGAGAATCACTTGAATTTGAGGCAGGATGATTGCAGTGAGCCGAGATCACACCACTGCACTCCAGCCTGGGTGACAGAGTGAGACTCTGTTTCAAAAAAAAAAATTTTTTTTTATTTTATAAATCTAATTTCATAGCTTCAGAGCATTCTCCCAGTAATCGTCATATTTAGGTTGTTTCCAATTTTTTCCTTGGATACTAGCACTACTCCCATCTTTGTGACTCAAACCCTATCTCATTTTTTGTCCTTTTCTTAGGGTGATAAATAATAATGTGTACTTTCTCTCTCTTTTTAATACTCACATGCTTACAATTGCTTGTTTAGTGTTGAGCTGCGCTGAACCTTTAACTGAATAAGTTAAATGGTATTTTATTGCTGCTTTATTATATATTTTCTTGATTACTAGAAAGGTTAAATATTTTTTCAATATTAGCCACTTATTATATCTCTTTAATGAATTCTCCAATCGTGTCTCTTTTTTCATTTTCATTTTTTTTTTTTTTTTGAGATGGAGTCTTGTTCTGTCACCCAGGCTGGAATGTGGTGGTTAGATCTTAGCTCACTGCAACCTCCGCCACCTGGGTTCAAGCTGTTCTCCTGCCTCAGCCTCCCAAGTAGCTGGAACTACAGGTGTGCACCATCACGCCTGGCTAATTTTTGTATTTTTAGTAGAGATGGGGTTTCACCAAGTTGGCCCGGCTGGTCTTGGACCCCTGACCTCAGGTGATCCAGCTGCCTTGGTCTTTCAAAGTGTGGGGATTACAGGCATGAACCACTGCACCCAGCCTTATTTTCATTTTCTATCAGGGTTTGCATGTCTTTGTATGAGCTCTCTATATAAAATATGTTAACCATCTATTTATTACAAATATTAGTTATATGAATTGAAACATTAATTTATACTATATTCTCTTGATAATTATTATTTTAATATTCCTCCTAGAGTTTGAACCTGGCTGTCACTACAGTGATCTGTTCAAGCAGCCTACCTGAGAGTTTGAGCCAGAATCTTCTTTTTTGGTTTTTGGTGGTACCTTTGTGCCTACATTAAAACAACACATACACATAAGAAGTCAGAACATCAGATGTGAAGGCCATATAGTATTATAAATAAATGGCTGCGGTGGGTGGTGGGAGTGAAGAGTCTGGGATTCCACACCAGTCTCTTCATATATTGCCTATGTTGCCTTAACCTGTACTACCCTCACTGAGCTTGTTTAGTTAATTGTAAAGTAAACACAATTACTGTCTTTATACATTAACAATAATCTACAGTTCATTTCTGTTTAAAACACTTTGCTATTCATTTATTTATTTATTAGAAACAGAGTCTGGTTTGTTACCCAGGCTGGAATGCAGTGGTACAATCATAGCTCACTGCAGCCTCGCCTGGTCTCAGGCAATCTGCCCACCGTGGCCTCTCAAAGTGCTGGGATTATAGGTCTGAGCCACTGCACCCAGCCCCTTTGCCATTTCTTTTATGAAGCTATTGCCAGTTAGCTAAAATACTAAAACCAGCTCTTTGAGAGATGCCTACAAATAATATCTATCCCACACAAATTCCTGTTTTAAATCAGTTTTCCTTCTTTTTTTTTTCTTCATTTTAGATTTTGGGGTTCATGTGAAGAACATGCAAGACTGCTGCATAGGTACACACATGGCAATGTGATTTGCTGCCTTCCTCCCCTTCACCTGTATCTGGCAATCAGTTTTCCTTCTATGTTAAAAATATGGCAATATGGATTATTATACAGCTTAAATATAATGCTATTATTCGGTTTATTTGAATTAGGACATGACATAATAAAAAAAATTCTCTATACTCACTTAAAACATTTGCACCAGAGGTGGGATAATCCTCAACAGGCTCCACAAAGTTCAGGGGGAAAATCCCAGGTCTGCCACGAACTTCTCCTCTCGCCCATTCCTCATTTACATACTCTTTAAGAATAATAATTTCTCCCTCTGAGAAACTCAACTCATCCTTTTGCTCTCCAATATATTCAAACCGAGCAACACATCTTAAGCCTCTGAACAAAGAATACATTTTGTGGGTTAGACTAGACAGTGCTTTCAAATACTTAAAAACCTTCCTCCAGTCTTTCAATAAATATTTATTGTGTTTACTATGGAATAAGGTATACTAGGCTAAGTTGAAAATATTCCATGAAAAAGAGTAAGTTACACTTTCAAATAACAGATATGAGCCTATTCACTCAGAAAGGCTTAAAGCTGAAGGTCTCGGAGTGCACAGAGCTGGGTGTTTGGTTTACCCTGCTGCGTCTTTTGATCATCTTACTCCCTAGTCTCCCTATCTTTGTATCCTTGGGCCATAGCAATCTGTGGTCCAGTCTGAACCCTTTCAATCATAAATGCACTGAGTTGAGGAGTGCTAACCCTGAGAATCTCAGGGCAATTCATCAAATTTCCTGACTATGAATCAGGGCAGATGCAATGGGCATCAGCTGGGCAGAGTAGATGCTCAATAGATGCTGTATTAATTAGTGAGTTGGCCTTAAATACTAGGAGAAGGTAAAAAAAAAACCCCAGAAACTTGGCATATCATAACACACAGTCTTGGACCCAACTTTGTTGCCTTTAAAAATGATTTTTGTATCTCCTTTAAAAGGGCTTCATTTCTGACTCTTGGAACAATGCTTACATGATCTGAAATTTTGACTGAAAATAAGATAAAAGCAGAGATAAAATTGTGTCTCTAGAAGCTATGCTTTAATATTAAACCCTAGATTTGAGGGTTTAGAAAGGAAGTTTCAATAGCAACAGGCTAAGGAGAAGCACTGCCTAAAGAGAAAAGGTTGATTCTAGCTCCAACAGAATTCTGATTTAAGTCAGATCAGTGGGTCAATGCCTGTAAAAGCCCACTTCAAATTCAACCTGCTGAGACACAGTATATGCTGCTTAAAAATAGAGAAAAACTGAACCTGAAATAGAATTCAACTACTGTGGATCACAAGTTTTCCTATTTATGATAACCTTTGCATTTGTTTTCTAAAGTCCTCTGGGAGCATCTCCTTATGTCTGACCTATTCATAGACAGGTTTACAGTCTTCAGCAGGTAATGAGTTCTGTTAATTTGCTCATTTAACTAGAATATAAAGTTGCATTGTGGCAGTGTTTTAAATCACAAAAGAGTTACAATGATGTTTAAAAGGGTATATAAATTCAGGGAAAGGTCCTCAGAGATATAGGAAAACCCCTTCAACTTAACTCTTCCTTCACTTTCTTCTAATTCCTCTTAAAAACAAAAAAATACAAAACGTCTAGCAGTTTTTGTAAGATTCATATTCCTATAGGATTTAATTATTTCCCATAACAAAATTACTTGAACCTTCTAAAAACTTGGTAGATAAACACCAGAAGGCCAGAATAAAATGCAGTAAATGATGAAACTATCTCTGCTCAGCCTAAGTCTAGGCTGCAGGGAACATTGGCATAGGCTGCTTTGCTGCTTTCTCCATGTCCTGCATTAATGTGGAGAGTTGCTTAGGTAAGCTTCTATCAGCATGTTCATGATGCATTTTCATCAGAATTTTAACACATTGTCACCTTTTAAACAAGTTTTCTTTGTAATTAAAAAGACACTGAGAATCTGTGTAATCATCCATGTGAAGTGTTTTCTTTTTAAGTAATAAATAAATAAATAATAGAGACGGGTTCTTGCTATGTGGCTAGTCTTGAACTCCTGGCCTCAAGCAATCAATTCTCCCATCTCAGCCTCCCAAAGTACTGGGATACAGGTGTGAGCCACCACACCCGGCCTTGGAGTGTTTTAAGCTTGATAATTCTTCAAGATATAGATGAATATCTCCTTTGTATTTTGTGGAAAAGAACATAAATAAAACTTACTTAACACAATGAGATGAAACAAATTCTCTTTTCCCATTTCCTCCTTCTGGAATATCAATCTAGTAAAGACAAAATCAAGGCAATAATTATGTTTTTTCAGATTTTCATGAGATAAATTTAATGTAAGTAATTAGAAAGTAAATGACTGAAATCAGTTAGTTTAGCTAGGTGTTAATCTAATTAAGAGGAACCACAGGTGCTAAATGGTAAAAAAAAAATCCTGACTTTGGACTAAAAAAAAAAAGGATAACTTGTGAAGTAGCCTTCCTCGAGTACCCAATCAATTATCTTATTTGCTGAAATAAGCACATTAATATCACCCTAATTCGGACTGAATTTTCTCTATCCCCTCCCCCCTTTTTTTTTTTTTTGAGATAGGGTCTTACTCTGTTACCCAGGCTGGAGTGCAGCGGCACAATCGGAACTCACCGTAGCCTTGATCTCCCAGGCTCAAGTGATCCTCCTGCATTAGCCCCCCAAGTAGCTGGGACTACAGGTATATACCACCACGACCAGCTAATTTTTGTATTTTTAAAAAAGTAGAGACAGGATTTCACCATGTTGCCCAGGCTGGTCTTGAACTCTTGGACTTAAACAATCTGCCTGTCTTGGCCTCCCAAAGTGCTGGGATTATAGATGCGAGCTGCCGTGTCCAGCCAGCTCTATTCCATATTCTCCAGGTTGAAAACTGGAGCTGAGAAGAACTTAAGATAGAAATCAGGCATCAGGCATTCACAGTGCCACACATTAGCTCTACCACATCTACTCCAAGGGTTGGCAGAATCCTGAAATACTTCTCTGACCCCAAGATAAAACATTTCAATAAAACTTGTGGATTCTTGGGCCAGGTGCGGTGGCTCATGCCTGTAATCCCAGCACTTTGGTAGGCCAAGGCAGGCAGATCACCTGAGGTCAGGAGTTTGAGATCAGCCTGGACAACATGGTGAAACACTGTCTCTACTAAAAATACAAAAATTAGCTGGGTGTGGTGGCTGACACCTGTAATCTCAGCTACTTGGGAGGCTGAGGTAGAACTGCTGGAGCCTGCGGGGTGGAGGTTGCAGTGAGTCAAGATTATGTCATTGCATTCCAGCCAGGGCAACAACAGTAAGACTCCACCTCAAAAAAAACAAAATGAAAAAACCTGTGGATTCTCTTCACATTTATAATTGGAATATTTTCTCCCTTCAGCAATGAATAGGGAAGGAAGAAAGGAATATGTATTTAGCAAACATCTACTAAGTGGCAAGCACTTTATTTTATTTTATTTATTTATTTTTTGAGACAGGGTCTTACTGTGTTGCTCAGACTGGAGTGCAGTGGCATGATCATGGCTCACTGTAGCCTTGCCCTCCCATACTCATGCCATCCTCCCACTTTAGCCTCCCAAGGTGGCTGGGACTACGGACTCGTGACACCATGCCCAGATCATTTTTCAATTTTTTGTGGGGACAGGGTCTCAAAATGCTGTCCAGGCTGGTCTTGAATTCCTGAGCTCAAGTGATCCTACTGCCTCAGCCTCCTAAAGTGTTGGGATTACAGGCATGAGTCACTGTGCCCAGCCAAGCACGTAATATAATATTTCATTTACAAGGCTCAGTAGAGGAGGGCTGGGTTGCAATAAAATATTTGGCCATAATGCATGCAATCTAAAACGACTTAAAGCATTGAAGTTTACATTAAATAAATCAGTGCTCTTCTTGCTGAATTCTAAGGGTTTGAAGTTCTAAAACAATTTTTTAAACTTGTGGGCTTAGAAATAACACTTATACCAATAATGTGGCAGATTCTGTGTGACTGATTTCAGTGTGGTAATTGTGCTTTTTAAAGTACTGCTGCATTGGGCAGAAGAAAAATGAGGAAGGGTGCTAAAACAAACATTATTCTTAATATTAATTTAGAGAATGTGGTTGAATTTCTCCAAAGAATCAGGGCATAGATATACTGGACAATTTTTAAGGCCTACCCTTCATAATCCAAGAGACTCAAACTCCTTTCTATTTGAAAAATACAGATTTTCTGTTAGTCTTGCTTTCTAAGGTAATAGATTTTTTTTTTACTTTTTTCCTTCCAAATAAGCTGTTAATGCGGTTAAGCTAGGTTTATTGCTATTGCACAGTATCAATAAGTTATATGAGGGACCGACTCATTCTCTTCCAATTGATACAAATATGTGATGGCAGTCTGATTTTATTACCATGTTTCACAGCCATCTGGGCTTACACACAGCTCCCTCACACAGAAATGTTTTCACAAGTTAGGCCGTGAGGGCATATAAAATTCTAGTGCTTTGATATAATTTTTCTAATCAGATTAGAAATTATTTTGTGGGTACAACCCTTAACAAACCACTATCTCCAATACAAATATTTCTGTATTCCCAAATCGATTTTTTTAAAAGATGGAGACAGATAAGAATGGAAAAGAAGAAAGAAACCCAAGCCAAAATGTGCTCCAAAGAAAAGAAGTGGTACCATAACCTCAGAGAACATCTCTACCGGATAATCTAATATCATTCAATTCATGTTTACTAAATGTCTCAAAGAATTATTATATATCCTTAAGTGCTTAACAACCCTCCAAGAACAGCTGATTCACCAGCTGACTTGTGGTGGTGGTCTTTCACTTTAATATTTCAGACAGCATTTAGGCATTAAGTTCTAACACCCCATAAGAGAATAATTAACCATCACCTACTTGATCAAATCTTTATTTCTAAATTTTCCAAATGCCAAATGAATCCATGAAAGCAAGAGAACTCAAATCTGGGTTTCTAGTTATTTTTTCCAACCTATAAGTCACATAGACTTATACCACTGAGTATATGACCAAATTAAAACAAGCACGACCCACTTACAATCACTTTGACATAGTTGGCAGGAAATATGCCAGTCTGGTTCCTGCAGTGCCCTCTGTACCAGTGTGTATCTATCTTCTCCAGAAGATAAACAATTTCTCCAGAAGTGAGGCTCAAATCATCAACTTGCTCTGTAATATAAAATTATAGTTATGTATGATGAATTATCCTGGTTGCAGATTTGATTAAAGCACAAAGTAGCATTTAGTTGTGTCCACTGAGGCAGTAATGTTTCATTGATTCTGAGAACAGATCATACTAATCAAATTGACTAAAAAATGCTCTTCTTATTTTGGATATTGTTATGAGCTCCTTTTTTGAAGACCAAATTAGATATAGTTACCATGCTTTGATTGATGGGAAATGACTGGAAAAAATACTATTGTGTTAACAAATGTTTCCTACTGTGCCAATATAAACCCTTGCTGAATACACACTGAACAATGAAACAAATTTATAGACATGGTATAATTTTATTATTCTCAATCATGCTTAAAAATCATTTTAATTTCAAATATTAACTAAGGGAGTACTATAGCTCTTTAGTGAATAAGTTTACCTATGCTAAAATAAAAATCAGCCTATCGAGTAGATAAAAAGAGATTGTAAGTAAATCAGGAGTTTATTTGTAGCCTTAGATATGAAGGGTATTTTAAAATTATTATATTAAGTATTTATATTTTAGCTGAGCATGGGTGGCTCATGCCTGTAATCTCAGCACTTTGAGAAGCTAAGGTGGGAGGATCACTTGAGGCCAGGAGTTCAAGACCAGCCTGGGCAACATAACAAGACCTTGTCCTTACAAAAAAAAATTAGCGAGGTATAGTGGCACCCCTGTAGTCCTAACTACTGGGGAAGCTGAGGGAGGAGGATCACTTGAATCCAAGAGTTTAAAGTTACAGAGATTGCACTACTGCACTACAGCCTGGGTGACAGAGCAAGACCTTGTCTCAAAAAAAAAAAAATTATTTTGATCTCATAGGTAAGTAGCAGCTGAGAGAACTCTAAGAACAAAAGAACTTCAGTTATTAAGTTAGAATTAACTTTATTACAGTTGTTTTTTTTTTTTTTAGAGATGGTTTTGCTCTTGTTGCCCAGACTGCAATGGTACAATCTCAGCTCACTGAAACCCTCCCAGGTTCTCCTGACTCAGCCTCCCAAGTAGCTGAGATTACAGGCATGTGTCACCACTTCCGGCTAATTTTTTGTATTTAGTAGAGATGGGTTTCACCATGTTGGTCAGAATGGTCTGGATGCCTGACCTCAGGTATCTACCCACCTCGGCTTCCCAAAGTGGTGGAATTATGGGTGTGAGCCACCGTGCCCATCTGTATTACAATTGTTAATTAGTACCCACTATTTTGAAAGAGTTAAAGTTTGAGACTGGCAGCAATTTGCAATGTTCATTTGTAAGGGAAAGTCTCTCTCTCAGATCTCTCTTTCTCTTTCTCAGGGAGCTTCAAAGGCAAGGGCATACATATACAACTAAGCTTTCTGGAATGGCTGGGTGCAATCGACTCTTCTTGAAGTGGAATCCTGGATAAGATGACCTCTCCAGTCTAGGACTCTACAGGCACAGAAAATGAAGAAGGATGTCCTTGAGAGGCAACTCCAGGGCAGGGAGGAAGACTTACTCCTGGATTCTATGGTTCTCCCACTGTATTATTTATGTCCTTACCTGCTGGGAAATCATGAAGAACGACAGCATGAGGAGCACCACCGCCAACAGGCTTCTGAGCATGGCTTGGATCCTTAGGGGGGAAAACAGGGCTGTGAATGAAGTGTGCAGGATAGATGGTGGATTTATTATTCACTCTGAAACCAATTTTTTTTTCATTGGAGTCCTCTTGACACAATTACATTATGAGTACAAGATGCAAACCACACAGTTGAGCCAAACAAGGGAATCATTATCAAGTTGAAAAAGAATGTGTGCTTGCCAAGGGAGGATGAAAATAATTCTCAATTAAAATATCCCCCAGTATGTTTTGTTTTTGCTTTTTTAAACTGAGAGAGTACAACAAAAGAGAACTGTTTATTTTTAAACAGTACCTATTCTACCCCAAAGTAGTGGTTTTTGACCTCTTTCCCTTTCAAGCATAGCTTTTTTCTTAAAACTGTGATCAAGACTAAACCTTAAGAACAGAGTCCTAAAAGTTGTGTCTTTATTAGGATGGGAAAAGACGAAAGTTCTATGATTTATGCTCTTGCCTTTTGTAATGAAAGGAGCTAATGACTTTCCACAAAAGTATAATTCACAAAAGTAAAATCCATTTCATTTATTACTACTTAACTAAGTGCTTTTTCTAATTTGAAAGCAATGCCACCTCCCATGCCTGGTCTGCATTTTGTATTTAATCTGAATGGTTTATTCAACAGTAGTTCTAAATAAATTAGCAAAAAGAATCTAACATTCTCTATCCATCTAGCCAATTGCCTAGATTGGCCAGAGGAGAAGGCAAAGCTGAAAAGTAACCTCTTCTTCTTGACTAGCAATTGTTATTCTTAGTTTCTTTATATGAAGAGACAGGTTTATCTACATCATCATCAAATCATACTGAAGGATATTATTTGGAGTTATAACTTAACACTCTTCAATACTGGCAAACTTGTGAAATAAGTAAAGGCAGTTTTTGTGCCCTTTCTTGTGTCTTTACCTCCTCTAATAACTCTTGTCCCCTTAGGGACATCTATACCTCTGCCCTTCCCCTGGCCATCATGCACCAGCCTGATCAGAGTGCACTCTGAATGATGGTCCACTTTCTCCATTTCAACCCTGAAGCACCTTTGCTGAGATCTTTTCTAAACGTCACCTGTTCTTTCAACCAAAATGCCCCTGCAGAAACAAAACTTTCATTCTCTCAAGTTAGCTAAACTGAAATATAACTGAAGACACTAATGGCTAATATTGCTTACTATATTAGCTTACCAAGATAACCCTAACATTTTTCTCATGTACTGCTTAATGCTTTTCTCTAAATAAATGAGCAACATGGAGATTTCATGAATTCTGAGATATTTTAGGTCTGATGTGGCTTTTTCTTGGACACAGGGTCTTGCTCAGTTGCCTAGGCTGTAGTGTAGTGGCACAATCATGGCTCACTGCAGCCTTGACCTTCAGGGCTTAAGTTATCCTCCCACTTCAGTCCCCAAGTAGCTAGCACTACAGACGTGCACTACCATACCTAGCTAATTTTTGTCTTTTTTGTAGAGAAGGGGTCTCACTGTGTTGCCCAGACTGGTCTCAAACTCCTGGGCTCAAGTGATCCACCCGTCTTGGCCTCCCAAAGTGCTGGGATTATAGGCATGAGCCACCGTGCCTGGCCTGGAGAAGCTTTTAATAATCATTCAGCATGGGTAACACAGCGAGATGCCGTATCTACAAAAAATAAAAAATTAGCGGGGCATGGTGATATACCCCGTGGCCCCAGTTATTAGGGACGCAGAGGTGTGAGGATCTCTTGAGCCCAGGAACTCAATGCTGCAGTGAGCTATGACTTTGCCACTACACTCTCATTTGGATGACCGAGTGAGACTCTCTCTTTAAAAAAAAAAAGAAAG